ATCCTTTTCACAAAGATATTTTTTGTATCTTTATTATAGCAAAGCATAGTAGAATAATAGAAAGTGTGGCAGACCAAAGATCCAAAAGAAAAGATGGCTGCAGGCCTGACAGTTTCCTCTCTATAGATCTATAATGGTCATTAGTCACTGCAGAATCTAGCCAGTTCAGTTTTTAAATGGGATTTCCATCAACTTTAAAGGATAATTGGCTGGGACATGCTGGTTTAGAAAAAAAAACTGACAAGGTGGTCCAGGGCTTCCTAACAATAAAGAGGAAAATTCTCTTGAAAATTGCCTGGGAAGAAGGGAAAATAGAAATACATTTAATTGTCTAAATTATATGACATCAGCAATAACAAGAGCTAATCTCTTTTCAGCAGTAAGGCGGTAAACAAAAAGCCAGTTCTAACAGATTATTTGCTCCATTTATTATGTTAGGTAATCAGGCAACTCAGTGCCCACAGATTTCGTAAAAGACCAATTTTAGAAAAATATATATGGTGATGCAGCATTTAACAATTACACAATGGTTTTCGCTCTCATTATTTTCTGATCATTGGTGCTTGCTTTATAAACCATGGCCCTTGATAAATAGTCTTCAAGAATAAGAGGAAGCTACTGTAATTCTCTTTCTTTTGACTGCATATAACAGTATCTTTGATTCAGCTTCTCTCAATTCTCAGGTCAATGTCTGATGAACAGAAGCATGAAATTCACAGCAATTACAGTATTCTTAGTATTGGATATCTGTTATCTGGATATCTATTCCCTCTCACTGGTGATAGCATTTTGAATTCACTTACATGTTGAAAACTCACTTTCTTCACTTCCATTTGGCCAAATTATTGGGGCTTCTAACAATTAAATGCCCATCTGCCACAGTTGGGCTAGTAGATTTTTAAACTTTTATAGTTTTGATGCCATCTAGTAATCATCCATAATTTTGTAGTTTATTATTTTGTGGTATATAGCAAGCGTGAAATCCAGCAGGTTCTGACAGGTTCTAGAGAACCGGTAGCGGAAATGTTGAATAGTTCGGAGAACTTGAAACTCTTTACACAGAAAATCAGGGTAATCTTACTAAGATTGAGGCCTTCCCTTGCAACTGCCACCTCTGGCTTGCCCCAGAGTGGGGTGGGAATTGATATTTTGCAGTATCATTCCCCTGGAATGGGGTGGGAATGGAGATTTTGCAGAATCCTTACCAAGCCACGCCCACCAAGTCGCACCATGCCCACAGAACTAGTAGTAAGAAAATTTGAATTTCACCACTTGCGTATAGTTATCTTCCCAACCAAGCCAAACCCCAGAATGATGATTTGAAGTTATCTTACTTAGGTCTCCTTCCACTTCATTTAACATCCAGCAGCAAGTCTGGATGTTAAATGTTAAATTAAGTTCCCTAATTCTTCCTGCACTTTTCCAGTGCCGTGTTGTTGGTTGTTTTTTTTAGATTAATGATCACTGGGCTAGAAATTTCTTTTATTATTCTCTTTCAATTTGGTGGGATTAAAAAAGGCTTGCTGGGTGGAATATTCACAAGAATGGTGCAGGATTTTTTCACCTACTTTAGTTATCTGGTGACATGAAATATGGGAATATTCTCTTTCCATGTAGCATCATTTTCCCAAGGTCATGTCTGGAATCTTACTGAATCTCTAAGGCAAGATTCTTTCAATTAAAGTTGCCATGATTGAACTTGAAACTCTTTACACAGAAAAGCAGGGTAATTTTACTAAATATACGGCCTTCGCTTGCTACAAAAATGCCATAATGTAAGCCCAAGTAAGTAACAAAAAGACAGGGCTTTTGAATGTCAGTCAGGAGGTTCTTCAACCTGCTTTTCCTACATGAATCTTTTTTTTTTTTTGAGATATGGATCAATAGCTATTTGAGGGGTTGGAGGAATTTAAGAAGCTGAATACTAAGTTCTTGGTCTGGCACTGCAGAGCTGTGCTTGGCATGCAAGATCTTAGAAGAGCATTAAAAATAGATTTAAAAAGAGGTCACAAACTCCACACAGTCAAGAAAAGAAATTAATGATATGTTGGACTAAACTTAGCTGTGCAAAAGATGCTTTCCACCTGCTAATGTGTCACATTTGGCACATTGAAGGGAACTGCTTCCACTTGGGATTTCTTCAAAGCCATTCCCTGCTGCAGGCAATTTCTTTCATTAGGCTCTTTGAAGACTATGACTTTCCAAAATAAGAGTTTAAAAGCAGGTCAAGAATACAGATAATTTACAAGGGAATGTATTGGGAAAAATATCATTAAATCCAGCAAAGACAATAAGGTGATCTGTTTGAACATCTAGCTGATTGATGGCACAGAATAAATGTGATGCTGAGAGACATTGAGCTAGGAGAATATTTACATATTAGAAATGTCAGGTTCAACTAGGAGCACAACAGCAGGTTAACTAAGATGGGATTAGCCACTAGGTAAGCATTAATGAATTGGCTGACCTAGTATTGTCATGAATAACTGCAACATCTGTGACTTTGTTCTTTCGGTCTAACTTTATTGTTGATGCTGCTGTTGCTTCTATTTCTACATGGTTACATTTGTTCCACATGCTTTGTTATTTAATATTTGTGCCACTTCCTGTAAAAAAGCTTCTCGAAATGGTTTACAAAACAAAGAATAGGAACAATGCCCTAAAAATATATAAACCATAAATAGAAATGGGAAAAACGCTAGGGAAAAAAATTAATCTAACCTCCATACAGAGAATGCCTAGGTGAACAGAAGGATTTTCAGCAGAGGTCTAAAAGATGATGTAACAATAAGCCCCTTGTGAATTTCAGGGACAAGCTTATTTTTTAGCATAGCTGCCACTCAAAACTGACCTTCCATGACAGTGAAATCTGTAAGAGCCCCCTCTCCAGTGGTTGGATTCAGTTCGCACCTATTCAGGAGACCTGGTTGTTGGAAGAAATCTCATTTTGTTTTTTTTTCATTTTACAGGGCTAATCCTGTAAGGAAGGCAGGAAGGAAACATTCTGGTGTTGTTTCTAGCCTNCATCAATAACTGAATCCTACTGTGATCTGATTGGCTCATTGCCAAAGCAAGATGACACCTGATTGGCTCTCTAAACACTCATGCTCATTGGCTACAATCAGATGAAGGAAAGCTACCTGATATCAACCTAAGCAAGTTGTGCTTCCTGTTTCTGGTTATTTGACTATAATTTTTCATAGAATACAGATAATTAATCAGACGTTGTTGCATTACATTCTTGATTAAATTATCTTTCCGTCGATATATAATGTTATGGTACTACTCCAAAAAAACGTGGTGTTATTAGCCATCAAACCTCAAAAATATGCTTTTGCCAAAAGGTTTCAACAATTTTGGCCACTACTTGTACATGGTAATCTATGATCAGATATTTGTTTAAAAAGAGTTATGCCCTACTTTATAGAACTGTCTATTACCATTCTTTACATATTAAGAAATTTTGTTCTATAACAACATATCTAATTATGCTATGAAGTTAGGGAGGGATGAAGAGAAGAAAGAAGGAAAGAAAAGAAAAATGATTTTCTGTAGAACAATCCTTTAGCAGCAGACAATTTTTGTAACCCTGTCCCAGAAATGTGCAAGGATTGCTGAAATTAGCTGAGGCAAGGAGGCAAAAGAGAATGGTTAGCAGTATTTTGGAGTATTTCTTGAGGAAAAGGTCAAAGAGAAACAGATGGAAAAAGTGCAAGCATGTTCTTCCTGGGCAGATGGTCTCCCCCCCTCCCCCCCCCCCCGGTTGATTCAGATAATATCTCTAATTGTAGCTGTTTTCTCCCATCTTATTTGCACTATTGCCACTGTAGTATTGTTCGGGGAAATGTAGCAGTTAAGATGCTGCCCTGTAGATCAAAACAATTCTACGTGACCATAGAACTTACAGAGTGATTTTCTGGGCTAGTTCTTCTTTCACAGCCCAACCTACTCAAAAGGTTAATCTTGAATAAAATCACAGGGAAACTGTCCTGCATTTCCCAAGAAAAGGTGGTCAGTAAAATAAAGAGCAATTGCATTTAAACTTATATATTATCCCATAGCGCTTTGCAGCACTCTGTTTACAAGGTAAACGTTATTTGCACATTGCCCCCAACAATCTGAGTCCCCATTTTACTGGCCTCAGAAGTATGGAAAGCTGAGTCAACCTTGAGTCCCATCAGGATCAAACTCCAGGCTGTGGGCAGAGCTGCATCACCAGAGCTCCAATAAACAAACACAATTTTTTAAAAATTGAGGATTTAGGAATATTCATTCCACGTGGTGTACTTAGTGCTTAACTGAATTGCCAAGGTGATGGGTGAACACAAAATGTCTGGAAGGAAGTATTTGGAAAAGCTATCTCTAAATTTTGCAATTTTTCTTAGAAATAATCAATGTTGAACAGACCCCCTTATATTTAAAAGCCATTTAAATGTAAAGAATCTGTTAAATGTTGCTATTTTGTATGGAATATTGGGAATAAATGTTAAGACTATTTGGCTTTTAATTTACACCTTGCTTGGTGCACAGGAGATGTGGAAATCGGATTGCAAGAACGAAATGGACAGCTGGAAGTGGATATTATTCAAGCCCGAGGATTGACCCCAAAGCCTGGCTCTAAAACCCTTCCAGGTACTATATTTCAATCTCAGTTCTTTCTTCTTTTTAATAAACTGTTGTTTCCTCACTGTTGTTACAAAATGCTGGACAATACCTGTGTCCCTGACATTGTTAGCAGAAGCTGCTTGATTCTAGAAAGAATAATCAGGAAGGGTTTTACAGCAATTTATTTCTCTGTACAGTGCAGTTAAATATTTTAGTGACAGCTGAATGATTTGAAGTCCTTCTATGATAAAATTTCAGACATGGATAAACACTTTTAAAGATGTTTAAAGTGAAAACCACACCTTTTGAAAAGTTGCAATCTGTTCTAAGATAGTCCCAGCCCCAAAAAAGTCTAGATTAAGGCTTGAAATCTTTTGCCAACATTCTATTTTACTCAGCTAGTCTTTTCCTGCCAATCCCCTCCCAAAAGTGCCCATTAACGTTTCCTTACCATTGTGCAGGGTATAACCTTGGGACTAATCTGAGAGGACATTGATTGGCCAATTTTGCCAGTGACAATTTACCCAAACAATCCTTGGATTTGCAGTGATGTTCCTAAGCATTCAAGAAAACATATGGCTGGATAGGCTGGGATGTTAGCTACTCTGCTAGCTAATGTGACTACATGGAGTAAGCAATCTATTAGGGCACTTCTTTGCTTGCAAAAAGGATGAGGAAAGGTATGAGAAAGGGAAGATAAAACCATTTTGTTATTCTCCTTATACGGTAGTTCCCACTTTTTTGCATTTCTGTTTCAAGGCATTGAGTAGTATTGTTGCAAGATGATGGACCACGAGTACGAACAGTCCACAAATTGTTAAAACCTAGTAAGAACTGTTGGTTGTATCATCTCATTGGTTAACTGTATTATAAAGTCTCCTATAGAGATAAAAAAGTTCATGCAAGATAGTGAGAAAAATTCTTCCAATCATTGCTAAAAATTGAGCTTTTCGTTATGATTGTGAACTGTCATTGTAGCTGTAAACAAATCAAGCTATCACTGTGGGAAATTAATTGCACTCCATGTAACACAATTTAATTAAATATGAGTGACCTTATGATGTGTGATCTATAGCAGAAACACAGTACATGAACATTAAGGTATATCTCTTTTCTTTCCCCACTATGATTGGAACAAAAATTCATCTCTTTGTGCAATTAGGATCCCTAGGAAGAAAACCCCCTTCTTACTTTTCTTACTGGGAAACTTAATTTTCACAAGCTGTCTAGTTGTGAGAATGGAATTAAATTTGCAACTGACAGAACAGCCAGAGCTGGCTGAAAGTTCCCTGGCCACGGATCCCAACTTGCTGCTCTACTGAAGCTGGGAAACCAGAAGAACCCTGAGTTTTTACATCAACTTCTTCAGATAAACACAATTCCACCAAGAGTAATAAAGGAAGCAAATGGGGCCCAGAACTCATGTGTATAAACAATAACATTGTCTTAATGGGATTCAGTTTCAGTCTGCTCCTCCACCTCCAATCCCCACAACCTTCAGGCACTAGATCAGGGCACCATCAAGCAAAGTACAAACTGAAATTTTAAGTGAAGCAATGCAGAACTAGTTTGCCACTGCCTTTTTCTAAAATATATTTTGACTTTTCAGCCCAGCTTACAGCCTTGATGTTTCCTTGAGATTCAAGTAATAGTTAGGTTTGATCTTTGCTGAGACACACAAGTGAAGAAACTTTTTAAAATCTTCTTAAAAATAAAGCCAGTAACTATACAGGAAACTCTTTCCACAAAACAACTTCCTGCCTGTGAAAAAAGCCATATGAGCTTCATGGTGGATTTTTTTTTTAAAAAAAGGCTTTGAACTTACCCTGAATCACATGCTTTTCTTCCAGCGGCATACATCAAGGCCTATCTCCTAGAAAATGGGGTTTGCATTGCAAAGAAGAAAACTAAAGTGGCTCGCAAGTCTTTAGACCCCCTGTACAATCAAGTGTTACTTTTCCCAGAGAGCCCGCAAGGTAAAGTACTTCAGGTAAGATGCAATTTGTTCACTTTATTTATATTCCCCCTTTCCATTAAAATTGCTTTCAGGACACAATCAAAACTAAATAAAATAACATTATGATCAAAACTCTAGTGGGAAGAAATATCGACCTGGTTTGGTTCCAATCCAGGAGGAAGGCACTGGAAATAAAATGGAGGCTGGAGGCTGATTGGAAAGAGGGTCCATTTATTGATGAAGCAGAAACACCAAGCACCTGTGATTCTGGGCAGCTGACAAAATAGAATTGAGAGTGGGGGGTTTTTATACCTTCTCTGGGCTTCGCACTTGAGCTTCCTGTTCCTGTGGAAGAACATGTATTCTATTTGCTGTTGTCAGATTCCTTGGGGTCATGTATGGGTTATGTAGGGGTCATAGCTAGCTCTGTAGGCAAAAGTGGAAATGCAAATCCTAGGTGTTTGTCTGAGCTCCCAGGTTTGGTTGAAGTTTGGACTGCTCTAAGGGTGATGCAATTCCTATTGTGACTTAATGGCTTTTGTCCTGTTTTGGCTCTTGGGTGGGGGTATTTGCTTATGAATATAGCTATCTAGATACTTACCTTCTTTCAATAAGCTTTTTATGTCTTAAGAGCTGACATCTGTGGTGGGCTGCTTTCTGCCTCGAAAAACATGTTTCTCCATTTCTCATTTAGGGAAATATAATATTCTGCCTTTTTAAAAATATTCCTCAAAATATTTCATGCTTCTAGGAGGGGGGAAGGTGCTGACTTTATACACTCTTTAAATGAAATGAAAAGCATACCAATGGTGGGGGGAGAGGTGGGGAAGCAGGTACCAAAATCTAATTAAGGAGCAAGACAGTTTAACTCTCAAAATCCCAATGAAATGTGTTTGCTTGTTGGCAAAAAGTTGGGAGAGTGCACACCAGGGTGCTGCACCAGTCAGAAAGTAACTCCAGTGTTTTCACAACATCAGCAAATCAGTTTCTTTCTAGCTCTTCTGCAGAGTGAAACTAGTATTTTCCTACTGCAATGTTGTGCCTTTTTGAAATGGTGCAGCAAGGCGCTTTTCCCTTATCCTTCCTTCTGCCTGCAGAGGTTCTCTAAAGGAGATGCTATTCTGAGGGCTTTGCACTTCCACTTAATAATCCGGCCAAAAGAAGCAGAGGTAAATTTGATCAAAGTTTTCTGTTTCGCTTTCTCTTCAGCAGGAAAAAAAACACCTTATAATCACAGGCTGCTTCCTGCCACTCCTGTGAAAACATTGCTGAGGGGAAAATATTGCTACAGGATCTTGAGCAGCAACCTTAGAATTTGCTCAATGTTCTCAGCATTTCAAGTCAATAGAATAAATACATAATCACAATTGTTTTATAAACAGCTCTTGAAATTTTGAGAAGTCAAAATAGTAGTCATGTCAAGTACTTGAAATCAAAGCTACATTTCCCTCCTTTTGCAGAAAATTTCTGAAACTATCGCTGGTATTCCTGACAAATATGCTCCCTTGTTTGTTTGTTTATTTTATTTGATGTATATTGTTAACAATATGTAAGAGTGATGTTGGGCAACTTAAAGGAACATGAAAAAACTAAAACAAAACACATTCTAAAAAGGTACAGCGTTGGAATGTTAAAAACAAACAGGGCAATGAAATAGAAATAACAATAATAACGGAAGCAATTGAGACCAACCAACACAAATCTCATTCAACGGTCTTAAACTCTGTATGGATTCATCCCATGTTCTGGTGCAATTTTCAGGGGGAAAGGCAAACCTTTTAGAACCTTGTGAAAAGAGATATATTGATCTATTCCAGAGCTTGAGGGAAAAAATAGGTTTACAAGAGTCATTCAAAGGCAATTCAAAGTTCTGGTGGACTGCTATTGCATACAGCAGGCAATGTAACAAAAAATATGTTTTCTTAGCAGCCATTTGAAAATGTTACTGGATGGAAGGGACTCAAAACATGCCTGATCGGTCTTACAGAATGGGCAGAAAGCATGACAACCAGGCCCTATAGCCATGATGGCAAACCTATGGCACGCATGCCACAGATGGCACACGGAGCCATATTTGCTGGCAGCTCCAGAGGCTGGAGAGGGTGAAAAACGAGCCAACTGGAAATTCAGGAATGATCCATTTCCAGCTTCTGGAGGGTCTCCAGAGGGCAGGGGGAGGCTGTTTTCACTCTCCCCAGGCTTCAGGAAAGCCTCTGGAGCTTGGGAAGGGGTCGCATGCACATGCACATGTGGTTGGGTAGGATTGAATTGTGTGGGCATGCATGCGCATGCGATAGCACATGCACACACAATTTTGGCGCACCATAAGAAAAAGCTTCGCCATCACTGCCCTATAGTATGAAGCCATGTACTGTATATAAGTCATATATAACCAATAACTTTAATTGCCTTTGGGAAAAAACCCAATGACCAGGAAAGTCATATATTTCCCATAATCAGCAGTCTTGCTGCAAAATTCTGGGGCCAGATGGACTTTCTAAACATTGTTCAAAGGCACAACCCAGCCCTCTAGTTAAGGATGGTGGAGGTATAATCAAATCAGTAACAGTTACTAGCCTGAAAACCTATTGAAATATTTATAGTCCTTCATTTATTTATAATATTTATGAATGACTCAGTCCCAAAAGATTCTAGATGGTATACAAAATGTAATCTTCAAAAACATTGTTCAGTGTAGCTGATAAAAGGATAAATCTCTACCAACTGGCTTGAGTAATTCATATGCCTTAAAAAGGGGAGGGATATAATAGTGAACCATTCCCCACTGCTTTCCATAATTAGGAATCGTTTCTTTTCTCATCTGTACCCTAATTTATTTTTCTGATTCTAATAGAAAATGACAAAACGTGGAAGGAACCATAGCTCAATATCGTACAGGAGGTCTTCAATATATTATAATTAGAAAAAAAATAGGTCAGATAGTAGGAGATAGTAAGACCCCAGCCAGCTATTGTAAGTAAAAGTAAACAATAGGTTAGGAGGATCGAATAATATAATGTAGATTAAAAGAGATGTCTATATTCCTATAGCTGGGCTGTCTTCCACAATGCTATGTCAAAAGTAGAAATGTAGGAGACAAACCAATAGGTTTTTCCATCTTGACAATACTGGAAATGCCTGGTGTCAACCTCCTCCGATATTTCCCTCAAGTTTCTCCTTTTGATGTTGATCAGATCTCAGTGTGTGACAATATTTTGTCAAAAGAAAAAAAAATCCCCCAGTAAAAAAAATCTCAACATCTATCATTAGTGTCCCTGGATCCAACTCAACTCCCATTCTTTTTGTTCCCAAGGTGATCGTCTGGGGAAACTATGGGCGCATGGAACGCAAGCACTTCATGGGTGTTGCTCGGGTCCTCTTGGAAGAACTGGATTTGTCCACTCTGGCAGTTGGTTGGTATAAGCTTTTCCCAACCTCTTCAATGGTGGATCCTACTACTGCTCCCCTCCTGCGCCAGTCCTCACAGCTTTCCCTAGAGAGTACAGTAGGACCTTGTTGTGACAGATCTTAATGAGCAAGGAAGTACTAAGGGTACTGATTCTATTTTTAAGATCATGATCTCAAGGTTTTGTTTGCCTGAACGCTGTCCTCAAGTGCATTGCATCTTCAATCAGTCCCTGGGGGAGTCTGAAGGTGAGGATAGCCAAGTAACCTTGATGAAATCAAAATGGAGGCCACTGACCTTTCTCCATCCAAGTAGGAGGAGCTGTGGGGCACAAGTCCTAATTATGAAATGATGCTGATAAGACACACTTTTCGGTTTTTCATTTATTCACTGTCATCTACACATCTTCAGATCAATGTAACATCTTGAAATGTTGCAACCATTTATTCTCATTGGGGAAGATGTTCTTTTTTAATACTATTTTACAAATTTGAAAATAAAATGAACTTTGGCTATTCTTAATTATTCAAAGCAAACATCTGACCTAAATAACAGCAGTTTCAGGGAAACTTTATGGAGTTTGTAAATGTTCTTTTTCCTTTTTAAAGAATGGGGAGGAGGGAGAAAGAACTGCAATTATTTCTTAGAGCAAGTTGCATTTAAGGTACAAGTACCATTGCTGTATTTTTTTTAATACTGTGCCAAATTACCAGCAGTGTCTTCTACTACTATAGGACTTAGGTCAACAATACTGCTGAAGAATTATTTTGTGGGAAGAACTAGAAATGTTCTAGGTCACTCAGTTGCAACACAGAACATAGCAAACCACATAACTGGAACACTGCACAAAAATTACAAATTGGAAAATTTGTAGCGATTAGGTTTATTATTGGATATGAACATTGTCAGCACACAAAGACACACACCATACGTTACCTCAGCTTTTGCTGTGCTTTTTCTCGTTGTGTCTTCTTATTCCCAAATTCTAGCCATGCTTTGGATTTTTAGTGCATATCTTTTGATGTAGAATAGGGTTTGGTTTCAAGGACAATAATTTATTCCACTATTGCAAATAAAATTACAATATAAAGGTTTGCTTTATTTAAGGGGAAGATACAAGAAGGTGACATTCCATTCATCATCTGAGAGACATGTGCAAAAGGTCTTGGGAAGCTACATTTAACAGAAGGAAATTTTATTTGATCTACCAGTGTTGCGAGGCAACCTGGAAAAAGAAGAGGAAAAGTTGGATTTTTTTCAAAGTTCAGTTGCAGGAAGTAGAAAAGGCATTTTCACAAGTGACTCTAAAAGCATCATGAGGTCTTTGAAATTATTTGTGTTCATATGTGAGTTATTATAATGCACTTTTGAATTAATGAGCGCAGGGAATAATTAAAATTGGCATTTTGGCTTTCATGTGGCTTTGTATGCTTGTACATATAGCTAATCTATGAGTGAACATGCCCTACTCGTATTATATTCTTGATTCCTCCATGCATCATTATACAATTGTACATGTTCCAGAAGCAGCAAATAAGAATATGGCTTCTACTGTGCTAGATATATTGATATACATCTAGTATAAAAAGAAGGTTTATTTTTTAGCAGAGTTAGCTTTGAATCAGCAGAAGAGGTGGAACTGTCACTGAAGGTTTGCAGATGGAATAATGACTTTCTAACAAGTCACTTGTGAAAATGCTCTAGTTGTTGCAAATTACCTTTGGGAGAATTTGAAACTATAATAATAATAATAATGTAAATATTTTAAATTAGCCAATAAAAAGGTTAGCTATATATACACATATATAATATATGGCTAGACAACAAATTTCAAGAACAGTTGGTGGTGGATACTTTAATCTCTACACTAGATTTCCTGGGCATTGTTCTAACTGAAGGCAGTAGAATTGCCTCTCCAATCTGGTCCTCACCAAATGTTTAATTACAAGGCCCTAATTCCCAGGCAGCATGATGGATGTCCATATTTGGCTGGGAATTCTGGGATTTATACCCCAACACATCTAGAAGTTAACATTCATAAGAAGACTGCATTAGAGACAGCTGTTTTAAACAGTGTTTCATGCCAGGATTAGAAATTCTATCTAGATGTTATTATATTCCTTTTAGTTTCTACTCTAATGATTGCTATGTTTTTCTGTTAGAATGGCAACGGTTGTCTTCATTTCACAAGTCAAGATTCCAAACTATGTATTAATATTTTGGAGCCAACTGAAAATGGCTTCCTAACCTGTTATTACAGCACAAAGTAGTAATCAGGGGACACAAAAAAAGCATGGCTAAAGCATGACTATAGGGATACCCATAGAATGAAATCTAGACAGTTGTATGTTATATGTAGCATTTTAATGGTTTGTAAAATAACAATCAAATGTTGATCGCAAAATCAATAGGTCTAGTATGAACTCTGCTAGGAATAATCTAATATAGATAATAGAATACAAGAATGATGTTAATTTTAAGCATTTACAATCATAAAACCTCCAGAGTTTCAATCTGATTGTCTAAAACTATTTTATTTATGTGCTTTCCAGAGAATTTCTTTCAACATTCATATCAGAGAATTTCTGTGTATAGACTGAAGGAAGATAGTTGCAGTATAGACACTGGTCAAAGTATGTTATGACTCTTTAAGTTTATTTTTTTAAAAACCTTATACTTCAAGTTGGTATATATTCATACTTATGTATAGTAATTATTAGGCAATATTGTACAATATCTGTATGAATTAGAATAGTTTAGGTTAGATTTAATAGTTGGTAGCCAATCTAACAATCTTGTTGTTTAGAAGAACTATAGGAAACTGATGCATTTCAGGATTGGGAACTGAAAGGCAGATGTTCATGTTTTATAAATTCAGAAGATGTTTTGGTTATTTAAACTTATAAATCTGATCGTATTTTGTATGTGTTCTGCAATCAGCTGCCAATTTTTACTGCAAATTTAAATATCTTTTATTCTTATATTCCCGGGATAATTATAACAAAATAAAAAAAAGACAACAAAAACTGCATCAGAAAAAAAAACCAAGGATTCCAGTAAGAGATTGTATTAAATATAGCAAAATAGAATAGAATATTAACATGATTAAAATTCACTTCTTAATAGACTAAAGCCCTGGGAGCATAAAAAAGAGTTTTGCATGCCTAGGGCAAAAACCATTGATAAAAAGTTGAGTGGACAAAGATGATAAAGTTTTCAGTAAGTTCTCATCCTCTGAGAAATTCTGCCTAAAGCTATCTTGATTGAGAAGTATACATTATGGCATATGATTTAATATATGTAAATGTACACCCTGCATTTGCAAATAGGCAATGAAATATAAAGCTAACATACATTTGTGATTTAAATATTTACTTACTGTAATATACAGCTATCTGACTTGGAAGGTTGCAAACAATAATTAATATGCAAAATTGTTCAGCAAAGTACCAAAAGTAGTAGAATACCATCTGCATTGAAATATTTCTGTTAATTCAAGTCATCTCAGTATTGGCTTTACGATCAGGTTAAAAGCTGGTTCCAAGCCTGCTGAATAAATCACTGTTGTAAAGTGAGATATAAATTGCTATTTGATCTAGAATAATTTCGAATACGTTATTAAACCATATGCATAATGCACATAGTGATTGTTTTTAAATGAAGAATTGAAAATTGATTTATTGAAATTCAGGTTTTATGCTCTTTGTAAGCATGCGATTCCATTAATTGGTCTGTATACAAATTATTTACAAATTAATTGAAATTTGTTGAAATAGCAGTCAAGGTTACTAACTCCTCTGTAAAGTTACGTCAGTGATAGTATTAAATAAAAATGGTGCCAGAGGGTAAACAACTTTTACAGTGCTCCTCCAAGTCATTTTATGTGCCCTGCATCTCATTCACGCTCGGAGCAGGAGAACAAGAGTCACAAATTGTAGTTTCCACTTCTTGGTTAAGCTCTCTGCATCCTCTAAAGCAGTGGTCACCAACCATGATCTGTGGACCACTGGTGGTCCGCAGAAAAATTATTTGCATGTTTTATATTGCACTAAATACTATTTATCTTTTTTTAAAATTCATATTAGTGGTCCTCAAGATTTAAAATTATGAATTTAGTGGTTCCTGAGGTCCAAAAAGTTGGTGACCCCTGCTCTAAAAGAGAAACCGGCTATACACATGGATGGTGTATACATCAAAGTAATAGGAAGGGTCAAATATATCAGCCATGACCACATAATAAGTCCCAACAAGAAATCCTGGTGCATGTACTACAAGTCAAACGGAGGGGAGGGGGGTGGTTTACTGGTAACCTTTTAAATTTATGGAAATTATTTAGCCCCTTCTCATTCCTAGCATTCAGTCCAAAAGACTTCCTCTGAAGATGGATATATTATGGGAACAGTATTATTAATAATTATTGACAAAACTGTGTCATCAGAGGGAATTAGCAACACTCATAGTTGCAAGACTCCAGCAATTATCATAAATAGCAAGGCAGATATATAGATTTGATCTGAAAACAACCACTTCCAACCCCTACTTACATGCAAATATACCTACCTACTGGCACCAGAATTAAGTTATATTTTTAGGTGCAGTTTTTCTTCACCTGTATACATCTGATAAAAGATGAGCCATATGAGATCCATTTTTAAAAACAGCCAAAAATGGTGTAGAAATTTGCAAGAATAAAGATTTGTTAAGAGTGAAAAGATCTGTCCATAATCATTTTCATGGAACAGGATGTACCCAGATTCAGAATTGAAATCTGCTTTTTGAAACAGGAAACTGAATCTGGGTTTCCCGGGAGTACCTGATTATTCTTTCTCGATAAGTAGAATTATTTTGAACATGAGAGATAAAACAAAATCAGACTGCTGTAGTTCAACTCATAATTTCTAGCTCTGTGATGAGAGTTCCGAAGAAAAAGGATAGAACAAATCGCGAACGGTTTTGTTGTATATATAATGCCTTTTTAATGTTTCTAATACTGGCTCTCTTATAAATGTACTGTTTAAAAAGTAGTCATAAATTAATGTATAGAATGAAATTCTGTAGAAGTTGAGGCAGTAAGAATCTCAGTGTAAGCATGTATAGTAGAAACCATCTTAGATAGCAGGTCAACTTTTTAATGAAATACATTCTAAGTTTATTACAGGCTGTTTAACACTGGAGAAATATGTTCTTTAAAAACAAAAAAATGCTGTATTTTTTTTTTACAGAGGCTATATAATTTAATCTTTTTTTAACAGAAAATGTTTTATGCTCTTGGTATAATATTGCTTTTTTCTTGTCCATAGAAACATTTTAAAAACCTACTAGAAATAAATGGGTTACAAGATCATAGTAACGGGTTTGTCCCACTGAATTAAAACAGAACTTCAGCACAACTCATAAGTTAACCTTGAAAGACTTTATTGAGTTAGTATTAGATACAGTATATTATAATTTAAACATTTTAGTCTGGAAATGCAGAAATATGTAAATAGCTACCAGGAAATCTTCCTGTATAAATTCCACTTGAAATTATAATTTAATATTATTAATATTATATAAGAATATTTGCAATTCTTTATTAAATCACTGCTAACAATCTTAAGAACTAAGCCTTTCTTGAAGGAATGGATGTTGAAATTTGAAGCTGAGGGGAAAAAAGAGACCTACGATACTTTGCTAGTTGTCCTAATCTTATATCCCTATAAACAAAATAAAAGATTTTTTTTATAATAAGTTTAAATAGTCTTACAAGCAATAATATTTTTTTGGGGTGTGTATTGATTGTGATGTGGAGATGGCAGTACATGGATATAATCTACAATGACAGACTTAATTCTTTGGGATTTCAGCTCTGGAATAGCCATATTAATCATGGTCCTTTAAGTGTGTTTTAGTAATGCTCTGCCAATGGTTTAATTCTCAAAGTACTTGTGCAAGCAAATTCTTTCACTGACCATCACATTTCTGTAAGTTGACTTTCATGATACAGGGTTCAATATAAAATTTACAGATGTGTCAGATTTTTTAGTTTTGGGATTATTTAACATTTGTCATTGTTGTTCCAGGCTTTGCCACTGCCAAAATGTAAACTCTGAATTTCATAGTAGCACTGCCCCCTCTAATGGCCTCTTTGGCAAATGTTCCTCACTGAAAGAAACGAGTTACAGTGCATTATTTTTCCTTGGCTATATTCTAATATTTCTAACATGACACCAAAGCAGAGAAATACATGCACCTTGATAAACCGCAAGGATGAATCAACGGCCAAACCTGTATTGTTTGTGTGTCTTTTCACAAAATTGCAAATGATTTCTAGGAGCTTTTACCTAAGGCTTCTGCCAGATGACAGCTGTAGAATCTACTTGGTTATAAAATGTTAAATAGCATCCAAAAAGCCATCAGCCCAATTTACAAAGTAAAATATTATTCTTCCCCATCCAGTGCCAAACAAAAGTGCTGAAATGCAATGAGAAGGGGGGGGGGAAATGAGCAGGCAAAATCCCATTGAAAATATATTTTACTTTCTTGTACTAAAATTTAGCTCAGGTAGCCCTTTTTTTCTGGCAATCCGATGGAAAGTTAAATATCTTTGTGCTGATTAATTTAATCACCAGCTACATTTAGGGTGCCAAATTTAAAATAGCTGTCAGGGAACAATTCCTCTGGGCCAAATCTGTTTTCTTACTTCCATCTGCCAAACCCAGAGCCCAAACACAAAGGTTCATTATTTTCCCTAGAGAAGTTCACCACTCTAATGCCAAGGCCTTCCCTGAAAAGTCACATTATGTGTACCAGTATTTCTCAACCTTGGCAACTTTAAGATGTGTAAACTTCAACTCCCTGAATTCCCAAGTCAGCATGACTACAGTAGTTAAATCATGGAATTCACCGTGGTAAAGTATATATATATTCACAGAATATGAAACTAGTTACAATATCTGCTAGCCTACTTCTAGAGCTGCTAAGAAACCAGAGTAAGAGGGAGGGGGTGCAAATATTGTCTTTAGATCGCATCTTTGACACAATAGTTAACAGAATATAAAAGAGTCCTTTTTATAAGCATCAGGGTGCAATGGATGAGTAGCATGATGGCCTAGTGGTATAAATGCTCGCCTCCCACTCAGAAGGTTAAAAGTTCAATAGTATCAGAGGTGGGCTCCTACCGGTTCACATCAGTTTGGTGGAACCGGTAGTGGAAATGGCGACTGGGTCTCCGAACCGGTAGCGACGGCATGCTTGCCACGCCCCCAAACTGGTTCCCTGGTTGCTGTGACATCTTTTTTTGACCTTTTTAAATGTTCTGCACATGTGCAGAGCTATTTATAGGCAACTGCACACGCACCGAACTGGCAGTAACGCCAGCAAAAACCTATCCCTAAATAGTATGATTACATAGCCTCCAAAATAATAACTCATATAGGTAAGCGCCTTTGCTTCAGGTGAGGGTTGATTAAGTCCAGCCTGTACACAATAACTCTAGGTATGAAGATAGTCAAAATATACTGTGTAAAAGTATGGAAAAGAATGAGATCTTGGTAGTCATCTAATCCCTATCTCCCTGCTCAAGGTAGGATATCTCATCTCCATTACCATGCTTAGCTGGTGTTAGAATTTAATAACCAGCACACGAGAATTCCAGCAGTTTGAGTAAATAAATAGGTTTGTTTTGTTTTATTGCCAATTTACAACTGCAGCACACAGCACAATCTCTCCCCCAAAAGACCAGGGCACTAACTTCTACTAATGAATACTATTAAACTTTTACTAAGGTGCATGCATTTCCCTGGTTGGAATTTTTTGTGGCAGATTGTTCTGCACACAATCGCAATGCTGTACATGTGGCAAAGTGTGATTTCACACATAGTGTCTGGCACCTTCATGTTGGATACTGTCTTTTGTCTTTAAGGGAAGATTCTGGTATACTGTTTTCTTTGTTAATTTTATCTGGAAAATACACAATGGTTGGGTAATTTACAATTAAGTGTTAAGCTAAAGAAATTGTTGAAAATAATAATAATAAAATAATAAAAATCTTCCTTCATTTTTAAAAAAAACGAATCTGGGGCTTTTTATTGAATACATGCTTTTTTACCACATCGCATTGGAATTAAAAACACATTTTCCTTGTTCAGGAAAGAAATGAAGTAAAGAGAACATGCCCAATTTGCATCATACATATTAGGTTCACTGCTTATGAGGATTTGAAATATGCTCACTTATTGCTGATTCCATTTAGATTTAACTCTTGTAAAATGCATTTCTTGTATTGTAAATACAAGTGTTGTATAATATCATTATAACCTTGGTATTAAGTCTGTCCAAAAAGACTTCTAATCAGACTGTTATTGCTGCCATAACCCTAGACATTTTTCAGATTTAAAAGGCATGTTCTCGTCAACATTTGTTGGAGGAAGGTGGGAGCAGGAACTCTAACACATAAAACACAATAAGTGTTGGAACTGGTAAGTAAGATATTAGATGAGATCAATTCAGAGAATCAACATAATTGAATGGGGTGCTCAGGTTTTTCCTGGGAACCTTCTAATGGGTTGCAATATTTTCATAAATGTTATATAATATATTGAGTAGGTAATATATGCATGTTTATAAACAAATAAGATGCACAAATGAAGGAGAATATACATGTCCCAGGATAATGTTGCAGGATCCAATCTTCTAGTCTTAGGGTATTTTTCTCCTAAATATTTTCGCATTTCTTCTAAACATGATGTGGCCCCAGAATTCCTCATTGGCATGGATAATGTCATAGTAAAGTGGTTATTGATAAGCCATATAGGCTGATAACACCATTATGTTATCACTAGACCAACAAATCTAGCAAGTCTATCAAGTTGGACAAAACTGAATATATGATAGAAATATTGGTAGGTGAATACACAAGCTTTATCTGGAGTCAATTACAGCCACATCCAAAGGTCTTACTCATATTAATATATACACCTTTGAACACAGCAATGGAAGATGGAATGAAATGTTGAAAGGAATGAAGGGATGAAGTAATATCCAGAAAGAATAGCAAAGGAA